AATATACTTTGATGTCTTCCTTTCTCCCTTTCTCTCCTTCAGTTGTCTTAATGCTCTAGCTAAAACTTCAAGTACTATATTGAATATATAGAGAGAACAGACAAACCTGTCTTGTTCCTGATTTTAGTGGAATTGCTTTAAGTTTCTCCTCATTTAATTTGATGTTGACAATCAGCTTGCTATATATTGGTTTTATTATGTTTGGGTATGTATGTCTCTTATATTGCTGATCTCTTCAAGACCTTTATCATGAAGGGGTATTGGAAGACTGTTTCAGCATCTAATCAGATGATCATGTTCTCTTTTCTTTCAGGTTGTCTATATGGTAGATTACATTGAAATATTTTCATATGTTGAACCTTCCCTGCATTTCTGGGATGAAGCCTACTTGGTCATGGTGGATGATTTTTTGATGTGTTCTTAGATTCAGTTTGCCAGTATTTTATTGAGTATTTTTGCATCAGTGTTACCTGAAAGCTCTAGAACAAAAACAACAACAACAACAAAAATAGACATACCTAAGCCTAAGAGGAGTAGATAACAGGAAATAATTAAACTGAGGACTGAAACTGATAAAATGGGTACACAGAGAACAGTAAAAAGAATCAACCAAAGAGTTGGTTCTTCGAGAAAAATAAACAAAGTAGTTAAACCCCTATCCAAACTAACTAAAAAGCAGAGAAGAAATATCCAAATCAACAAAATGAAAAATGAAAAGAGAGATTTAACAACAGAGACTGAGGAAATCCAAAGAATCATCAGGTCATACTTCAAAAATCTATATTCAACGAAATTGGAAAATTTAAAAGAAATGAACAAATTTCTTGATCAAATTTACCTTACCAAATTTAAATCAAAATCAGATAAACTATTTAAATAGACTAATAACCCCTAAGGAAATAGAAGCAGTCATTAAAAGTCTCCTAACCAAAAAAAAAAAAAATCCCAGGGCCAGACAGTTTTAACACAGAATTTACCAGACTTTCAAAGAAGAGCTAATACTATTACTCCTCAAATTATATCCTTCTGTTCTAGAAAGAGAAGGAACATTGTCATTGATACCCAAACCAAACAAAAACTCAACAAAGAAAGAGAATTACAGACCATAAACACATTTTCAAGGCACTAAGAAATCAGTCAAACTCAAAGCCACAAGGGCTAGAGAAATAATGGAGGCCCAGAAGTGTCATATACCTTTAATCCCACCATTTATGATTCAGAGGCAGGTGAATCTCTGAGAGTTCAAGGCCAACCTGGTGTACATAGCAAGTTCCAGGACAGCCAGAACCACATCATAGAAAGTCTTTGTCTCAAACAAATAAAACAAACAAACAAACAAACAAAACACATACTGTTCTTACAGGGTTAGGTGTTCTAGTAACAGAACACCAGTGTTGATTATTGCCTCCAACCAGTTGTCAGGAAATCACAGTAAAGTAAGAAGCTCTTCGACCTCATTTTTTGGCCATTACTCTTATCATGGTTCTATCTACCAACTAGAAGTTGGACAGTCAGTAAATGTCATTGAATGCCACATCAAACCCTCTCCTGTTAGCCAGGACCCCTCAGCATTAGTCAATGAATTCCTACTTCTAAGATACTTCACTCAAATGGGTTGACTCTTGCTTCACCCACATGATAGGAACAACACGATACTTTCTTGTTCTGTTACTAAAAGAGGTGGACAGTGGAAGGACATTCAGGGGATGCATTCTGAAGAGTGTGGCATTAGTAGAAGGCCCTGTCCAAATGTTCACTTTGCAAATTGATGTTTAATCAGATTCTAACAGTGATGCTGAGGATTGACTGTTTCATGTGGGGAACAAATTGAGCAAAGAGACCTTTCTACATGTGTACCTGGTGTGTGTATGTGTGTGTGTGTGTGTGTGTGTGTGTGTGTGTATGGATGCCACAGCATGTGTGGAGGTCTCAGGGAGTCAGTGTGGGATCTGGGATCTAAGTCACGTCATCACTCTTGTCAGCAAGTGGCATGACTGGCTGGATCCATCAGCTCAAAGACAGCTTTCTAACATAGCGTTCACTCTTCCAAGGTGTTAATACTTTGCTACTTAAATAGATTCTGAATGCTTACATGAGGCCAGAGTCCCAGGGATCAATATGGTCTCCCTTGCTTCAGTCATGCACCTCATAGTTTTTCTCTCAAAGAAAGAGATGCATATTTTAGAAACAGGTAAAATGGCCAATCAAAACGGCCTTGCCCTACCACCTTCACTGTTTACTCAACAGCTAGGAAGCTAGCTGTTGAGGGATGTCCAAAAGAAGATTCTCTCTTTTTAATTACACATCAAATATGCATTATTTCTGAGCAGTCACCTCTCCTGGGAGTTTATTAGTTTGGCATCCTCTCACTAATATTTATTACCCAGAAATGTTACATGGATCTTAGTACAGTGTGCTGAATGGGCACCATCTATTAATTTCATCCTTTCCCCCCCAAAAAAGGGGAAAAATTTAAAACTATGTGCTCAAGGATCTAACAAATATGTCTCATTGAAGCTGTGGATTCATAGGGCTTCATCACTCAACTGGTTAACAACAGGCTAGGCTGGGTTCACATGTTACAATTTCCACTTAGTAAATGCTGCACCAGGAGTTTATGAGCTCTGATGGGAACAGATTTGTAGTGTTTCATTTCCCATCCAATTAAAACTTCAGCTCCTGGGTACCTGTAGAGCCCTTATACCAGCTAAAGTATCAGCCCAGGCCCCTCTCACTTATCTCCTTTGTGTTTTCTCTCTGCTGGGAGCAGAGCCAAGAGACCAGCCTAGGAGAGGAACATAATTTTGGTTTCTTCTTTCTTTCAAGAGCCATGGGGCTGTTCAGTTGATCTCTAAAAAAGCATTTGTTTATGTTTGTTTGTTAGTATTAACTAATTTTATTCATTTACTTGTTTTGGTTTTTCGAGACAGGGTTTCTCTGTGTAGCCCCGGCTGTCCTGGAACTCACTCTGTAGACCAGGCTGGCCTCGAACTCACAGAGACCCATCTGCCTCTGCCTCCTGAGTGCTGGATTAAAGGTGTGCACCACCACCACCTGGCCGTTCATTTTTTTTTATAATGACTTCACTACCAATTACTCAGGGTATGCAGGGTGCCAACTTTAAGTGCACTTTCTACAAAGATCCTCTCATTTCACACTCAGGACAAGCCTTAGAGGCACAAATGTTAATGTTCCTGGTTTCAGAAACCAAATGAAAGCCAGGAGAGTTTAAGAAATGCACCCTGTTTAAAAAAAAAAAAAAAAAAAAAAAAAAGCCAACCTCATGTGTCATTGCTCATGATCTGTCCACCTTATTTTTTGAGACAGGGTCTCTCCCTAGGACCTGGAGCTTGCCAAATAAGCTAGACTGGCTGGCCGGGGAACCCCAGCAATCCATATGTCTCCACTTCCCCAGCACTAATATTACAAATGCATACCACCATGTCTGGCTTTTCTACATGGGTGCTGGTGTTTGAACTAAGATCTGTGTGCTTTCAAGGCAAGGTCTTTACCAACTGAGCCATCTCCCCAAGTTCCTGGTGTTTGAACTAAGATCTGTGTGCTTTCAAGGCAAGGTCTGTGTGCTTTCAAGGCAAGGTCTTTACCAACTGAGCCATCTCCCCAAGTTCCTGTCATGTGATTTTAATCATACATATGAAAGATGTCAATGCCCTGGCTTATTCAAGCCAGTAGAGTTTTAAGTGAAAATGATAAAGGCAGGAAGTGGTTTCAACATTAATCACAGGGGAGAAAGGTGAGTCTCCAGATGAGGTAAATGACCACTCTCAAGTCATGTTTGAATGTCAAGGCTAAATGGTTAAATTACAATGATTGAATTGACAATTCTGGTTTGTGCGCAACAAAAAGAAAAAGTGTGTGTGTGTGTGTGTGTGTGTGTGTGTGTGTGTGTGTGTGTGTGTGTGTTGCAGCCCAAGTAGTAGAATCTAGAAATTACATCTGGGTCAACTTTGGAAGAAGTGGGTGGATACTTAAATTTACTTGAATTATGAAGATAATTGTCATGATATTTAGCTTTCCTTGTTCTGGGGAAATGTGGCCACAATACAGATGGCAGGCAATGAATGTCACCATGAGGCCAGATCTCTTTGAACCATTGCCTTGTCTGCCTTAACACCCTATTAGTCTCAGTTCCAGACATGAAGTTCATCTTGTTTTGTTTTTTTAAATTGCTCGGTTGAAGTTAAGTGCAAATTCGTGCACAAACATACTGTCTCCACACTTCATGATTTAACCACTCTTAAAACTCTTAAAACATCTTAAGCATCCAGGTGTTCAAAGAGCTGTGATTGTTTTTCTTAAAGAAATGATGTCTCACACTATTGGTGGAACAGGATTTAGTTGGAATTTGGGACCTCTGATACCTGATACTGTCACCCACGACCTGAGGATTAACCAGGCTTTCTGTTGATCACTGCCTATGAGCATTGTATTTCTAGTGCCAGAAAGAGTGTCCTATGCTAGGAGATACATGCTCAAAAACTATGGCTACCTCAGCCACGAGTGATGTGGTGATGAGAGTAATATGCAAACTTGACAACTAGACTGAAGGACTCTTTGATGGAAGACCTGGGATATCACCCACAGGACATGCTCATTGAGTGTTGGCCGAGCATCATATAACATGGAGTCAGAGACCCAGACACCATCCTACACACTGTCTCTTTGAGCAAGTGTATGATCCGCACCCACTAAGTGCTCCACACCACCCATTGTTCAGCAGACAAATCCAATCTTAATCCTCCTGCTTCCTGTACACAGTCCACTTAAGTGTGTTTAGTGTGGTACCCATCCTCTCAAAGAGATTCCCCACATGCCCTGAGGTTCAAAAATATAGTTCAGCCTAAGTATTTAGATGGTCTTTTCATAAGACACTTCATGATAGGATTGGTTCCTCTAAAATTGTCTGATCTCTTTGAAAAGTCAACTTACTTTTCTTTCTTTACGTGTTAAAACTTGGTGTTTGGTTGTTTTTCCCCTAGGAAAACCTCTTTTTCGTGATGGAGTATCTCAATGGGGGAGACTTAATGTACCACATCCAAAGTTGTCACAAATTTGATCTTTCCAGAGCCACGTAAGAGCCCCACTTGGTATTTGGGATATTCTGTATTCTTGGTAGTTTATGTACACCTAGTACCCACAGATTGCTTTTCTCATGTGGTTCTCTCTCTCTCTCTCTCTCTCTCTCTCTCTCTCTCTCTCTCTCTCTCTGTGTGTGTGTGTGTGTGTGTGTGTGTGTGTGTAATTGTGCATGTGTTTGAATTTGTGTATATGCAGAAATTCATGCAGTGCCTTTGGAGTCCAGAAGAAGGTGCCAGATGTCCTGAAACTGGAGTTACAGGCATTTGCTATTCACCTACTGTGGATGCTGGGATTTGAACCTGGGTCCTCTAAAAGAGTAGGAAATACTGTTAACTACTTAGCCATCTCTCTAGCCTCCTCAGATGTTATTTTTCTTCCTTTCTTGCTTAGCATGACTGAGTAACAGAACAAGGTAAATCCTTGGGAATAGTGTCAAATAAGTGATTTCTCACAGTGCTATGCAAGCAAAAGTAAGCACTGGAATTAGCATCATTTACAAATGATAGCTAGGGCTATCAAGATGGCTCAGTAAGGCTGCCTCATGACCTGAGTCTCATCCCAGGCTCCCATAGGTCATCGTCTGTTCTGCACACATGTCCCATGATAGACAATGAATAAACACGTGTCATTTTTAAAGATAACTATATACTAGCTTTTTTCCCTCCATATTCAGCCATCTATCATGTACCTCCATATTCAGCCATCTATCATGTACCTCCGCATGACCACTTTGAGTGGTTTAGGCTGAACTGGACTAAAAGATGGGCTCAGTCCACCAGCTGCTGCAAAACCCAGCAATGTGGCTCTTTTATCAACTCTAGAAGGGAGTGCTAGGCACTTCCATCGTCTTCAGGCATCTTCAGTCAAGCACCTGTGATTATTTTACCTGATATCTGTAGCATTGTGCAGAAATCACTGGGCACACGTGTGTGTGTGTGTGTGTGTGTGTGTGTGTGTGAGAGAGAGAGAGAGAGAGAGAGAGAGAGAGAGAGAGAGAGAGAAAGAGAGAGATGCCCTATTGTGTCCTAAATGCATTCTTCCCAGGACCCAGCAAATTTCACTTCCAGGAAGCTCTCCCCTGCGTCTGACTTAATCCCACTAGAGAGACATAAACTCATTTCCTTTAAGCCCATCACCACTGCCAATGAGGACCAGCTTATCCCTGTCTATCTTCTATCCCCCCCTCTATAGCTATAGCTATAGCTCTGGTCCATGCTTAACACCATCAATATGAAAATATTCTAACCAGATATGTTGGGAATGGCCTGGCATAGAGCTCTGTGGGCTCCAGGCAGAATTTAAAGTAAAGGAGGAAGCTATTTTCCTAATACACTGTACTACTTATTACATTTCATGTTTGCGTTAAGTTTGAAGGTACTATAGGCATTGCAGTTAAAAAGAACAAACAGCAGATTCACCAGCTCTGAATTTCTGGGCAGACACCAGTGAGCTAGAGCCTTTGTGTTAAGTACAGAGTGTATAACATCTTTACTGGAATTAAGCAAACATGTGTGTGTGCCATTTAGTTATACAGACATAAACTATCACAAGGCTAGGAGATTGTGCCCTGCTCTGTTCCAATACTCATGCTGTGTCTTGACTTTCATACAGGTTTTATGCTGCTGAAATCATCCTTGGTCTACAGTTTCTTCATTCCAAAGGAATTGTCTACAGGTAAACTGTGCTGTCTGCCTTGAATTCACAACCGGGTTCATTAAAGCATCATGGCTGAGTGATGTGAAAATGTCACAGGAGAAAAGTTCCCTTCCAGAACCATCCCCACTGTGGAATTCCAATCCTGGAAGTCAGAGCTTCTTCTGTCTTGTTTCAACCTTTGTCTTGGCTCTTCCTCTTATTCTTGCCCTGGCTTTCCCTCTCCTCCTTCTGCCACTGCTTCAACTCTGATGCCTTGTTTCTGCTTTCTCCACCATTTGCCTTCTTTGTCCTTCTTGCTTTTATTTTAGGTCACCTAGAAATGATTGTGCGATGTTTCCTGCACAATGCTCGAGTGGGAGAAGGAAGCTCTTTAAAATCTGTGGAAACTCAACCACTACACACTACAGAAGCACACAGACCACCTCCACTGTCCTTTTTAGTGAACTCAAATTTTCTCTTTTGTGTGGTATTATTTCACTCTCTGCTGCCAGAGCTCTTAGATGAATGCTATAGTACACCAGCCTTTCCTTCTCAAAACACAGTTGACCCATATTTAACATAAAATTTTCCAAAGTGAGTTTTCAGATGTCTGGTTTCCAGACTCACTATAGATGAAGAGAGGGAGGGAGGGAGGAAAATGAGCTGAGGAGGATTTGGCTGAACTGCCAGAAACCAACACGGGGGGGGGGGGGGGGTTCTGCTCTGAGCCAGCCATGACCTGGAGTCACCATTAAAATTTCCATTGTCCTACACTTGACTGTCTAGAGCCTTGGTCTAGTCACAAGAGGCTCAACAAGGGCAAGCGACACAGCTGAAAAGATCTACCATGACACCAACTGTGACTTGGCTTCTGGATAGAAGACCTTCTCCAGCACTGACCACATGCCGGAGGAGTCCATTTAATTTTCTGCTGTGCTTGATGCCACAGAGACAAACAGTGATTTGGACTCTAAAGTGCTTCTCTTGAATCTTGATGTCCTATAGCTAAGAGTAAGCCGAGTGGCTTTGCCTCAGAATCTTCTGGATCTTTAGGTTCTACAGCACTTCTAGTTGCTCCAAAGAACCTGGCTACTCTCCTTCTTCCATTCCTTACTAGCTTTGAAAGAAAAGAGGTCTTTCAGGACCTTTCCGATCCAACCTGGGTCTCTCAGAGCTTCTTTCCCACCATCCCAAAGACATCTGTACTGCTTTAAAAAATGGATTCGAAATTTGACATGAAGCTTATTTTTCCTAGCCAGAGGCACAGAGAACATTTATTTTTAGAATCAGTTAAAATACATCCGTGTATAATTTCACGAGGCCAGTTTGATGAGAAAGACCAGGTGGTCTTGGTATAAAAGAATGTAAGATAGACTAGGTTTGCATCCCAGGCACTGACTAGCTATGTAAACTGGATAAATAACATCACCCATGAGAAACTTTTATCTGGGAAAAAGGAAAGCTACATTTGTAGTAACTTGATGAGATTGAGGAGATGGCTCAGTGGTTAGGAAGGAGTGCTTCCAACTCAAGCTTACAGACTGAGTTCAAATCCCAACATACACACACACACACACACACACACACACACACACACACACACACACACACATGCAAATCAAAATATGACTGCATGCATTTGCAATCCCAGTGATGGAGAGGGAGGAGACAAGAGGATCTCTGGTGCTTGCTGGTTGGCTATCTAGCGCCAAGTCCAGTAAGAAACCCCCTGTTTTGAGGGGAAAAAATGGAGAATGATAGAACAGGATAACCATTATCTTCCTCTCTCCTCCACACATGCACATACAAGTGTGAGCACCCATGTACACATGTGCCTGTATTCCATAATACATATATCACATACACTCATACTGTAACACAAAATAATAATAATAATAATAGCTTTATATCAAAGGTGTACTATGAGAATCAAATTATGAAATAGATGTGTGTGGAAACAAAAGAACCCAGTGAAAGAAAGCCTTAGATACTGTGGCCATTGTGCTGGTCTTCTCTAAAGCACATAGCTGGATATCTAGCTCTCTAGAGTTGTCTTCCCTCATCTTCAGCCACATTTTAGAACTATATAAACATATCTATAAATGACAAACTTAAAATGACACCAATATGGCATAACATATGGATTAGCTAATAAGACTGAATTGTTAGTGTCTGAATGTAGATCAGCCTGTAGTTGAACTAGATGGATAAACTTGGTAAGTTACTTATATTTAGCTCCAGTGAAAGATCAGGAGGCAGAAGACCAGCACTCTCCAGTGAGAAGGATCAGATATAGCAGGCATCTTCTGTCTTGGCAGGAACAGAGAGAAATGGGTGTTATGGTGAATCTGAGACTTGTCTAGGGACCCCCAGTCACACAGAAACTTGATGACTTCTGGGTAGTAGAGATGACTGAACTGAACCAAATGGAAGACATCAACTCCAGGGACATCTGTTAAGTCTCAGCAACAGCAGCATAGCTGGGGTCCACTCTTCCTCTAGTCGGCCTGTTCTCCCAGGAAGTGGAGCTAGCTGTTAGAACAGATACTCAGGTGTGCTTCGCAGCTAATAGGCATCGGTTGGTTGTTAAGCGATTCCATAAATATTCTGGAGTGCTTAGTGTGTTGTCAGAACTGCCACTGGGGCAATGACTCGGGACGTCAATATGCTCACTCTCCAGCTGAGACATCCACATGGGACACTGATGTACTCATTCTCCTGCTGACACATCCACATAGGTGCACCCCGAAGGTGCAACAAGTATTCAGAAGGGTGTGGAAGGTATGAGAATCTACAGCAGTATCTGGCCCAAGCGGGATGGCCAGGGCAGCAAGGGCCCCAAGAGAACATGAGCCACTGATGTGGAGAGGTGGAACAAATGATAGCAGGCAATGAGCAACTAGAAACAGCCATGCCTGGTCCAGAGGACCAGCTGGCAGCAGAGCCTCTCCTCATGTTCCCTCTCCATCTGTGATGACACAAACTACCACAGCCCCATGAGAATTTCATTTTAACAAGACCCTGTTTATTCAAGTGAGATTTGACTTTGCTTTTGTTTTCCAGGGACCTGAAGCTAGATAATATCCTGTTAGACAGAGACGGACATATCAAAATAGCCGATTTTGGGATGTGCAAGGAGAACATGCTAGGAGATGCGAAGACAAATACTTTCTGTGGGACTCCTGACTACATTGCTCCGGAGGTAGGGACACACTGCCGAGGGGCCTTTCCCAGCCCAGTGTGCTAAGGCCAAGTGGTTCCCCCCACTAAGGTTCTGCATTTGGTCAATCTGTGGAGTGTTTTCCAGATGTAGATATGCACATGTGTCTCTTGAGTTTTATAGAAACACTACTTGTGCTAGTGACATCTCTCCATGGCTGGAGGTCTAGACTCCCTTTGAGTTACGTTTCTGAACAAACCCAGTCTTAAAAGTTATCTGTTCAGACCCACCTGAAGAAGCCTGGCAAAGAGCCTGGTAGAAGCAGAGATCCATCTAAACCAAGTTTAAGCATGGGGTCAGAGCACTGGGTAGAAGGGGAAGGCGGAAGGATTGTCAGGGCCTCTCATATCCCGCTTCTAAATGAGTGTAGAGGCTTCTCTGCAGTGAGTATAACTCTGTGCCCTGGTGTTACTGCAGATATTAAAGGAGGGAGCATCTACATGACAATTTCATGATAAAAGCCGTTATCATATATGATTGCTCTTTGCTTTATAAACACCTTCCAAGAATAATTAGCCAAAGCTAATTGTAGCACACATGTGGGAGACCTCAGAGTGGAGGCTCTGTGCAGCACCAAACCCCTTTAGTGTGGACCCTAAACTGTGCTGACTCAGCTCAGATGTATGTTAGTCTCAGCAAAGGTCTCCTGCGTCTTCCTCTTGCCTCACATCCACCTCCTCCACACCCATTTCCCCACTCTACCCAACCCCCACCCTCACCCATGAGCTACCTCTAGTTCTTTTCCCCCTACCTTAGGGTGTCTAAATATCTTTGCATCTATTCTCATCCATCCCCGTCTGCAAATTCTTAGTCTTTGTTCTTTCCCAACCAAAGCTTCCCTTGCTGGTTCTGTTTCCTTTCACAGCTTCTAGAACTTAGCTTCAGTGACCTGCTGCTTTTTGTTTTGTTTTGTTTTCAACTTCCCTCTTTCTCCATGTGTGTCTTTTTGTGGCTCCATTCTTGGTCCCCATCTCTTCTTACTGTGTGTTCTATATATCTACCTACCTACCTACCTATCTATCTACCTATCTATCTATCTATCTATCTATCTATCTACCTACCTACCTATCTATCTACCTACCTATCTATCTATCTATCTATCTATCTATCTATCTATCTATCATACTTACTTTACTTTTAAACTATGTATACATATATTCAGGTATGCTTTCAGGCCAGAAGAGGGCACCAGATCTCATCACAGATGGTTGTGAGCCACTATGTGGTTTCTGGGAATTGAACTCAGGACCTCTGAAAGAGGAGCCAATGCTCTTAACCACTGATCCTTCTCTCCAGATATATATATATATATAATATATATATATATATATATATATATATATATATATATAGATATATAGATATATATATATATATTCATTCAGGGGAGGGGTATGTGAATGTATATAAGGGTACCCAGAGAGGCAAAAAGAGGATGTGGGGTCCCCTGGAGCAGAACAACAGGTAGTGTCATCAGTCCAGCATGGGGACTGGGAATCAAACTCCAGTATGCTGCAAGAACTGTATTTGCTCTCAACTGCTGAGCCATCTCTCCAACCCCTTCCTGTATATTTTCTGATGAATAACTTTATCTATGACAATGGTTTTAGCTCCAGAGTTTGCATGGCCAACCCAAACTTTGTCTTGCTTCAGACAGACCTACATATATCACAGACTTAAGTACGTCATGGGCCCTCCAAACATCATAATTCCCAAAGTCACTTTCTCTGTTGAGCCTGCCCACTCTTTAATACATCTTTTGTGATTAACCATAGGCCACCATCCAGTTTCCTCAACAACAAAAAATTGAAATACAATATTCTAGTATTCTCCTTCCTTCCCCCAGTTCAGCCAAATCTAAGGCTTTCTGCAATGGGAATTCTCACTCTCCTGATCCTGAGATTGAATCAAAACTTTCCCTTTTTCTTGCTCGATCCTCTAAATGCATCCTTTTGAGTTGGTTCCCAAAGAATCTCCAGGTCTTTCCCATCCTTTCTGGGCACTTCCTATTCTAGAACAATCTGTTACTTCTTGCCCCAAACCCAGGTATGGCAATACCCTTCTTCACGGCTTCTCTCCATCCCACACACCATCAGCCTCTACTTGTTTTCAAGCTTTCAAAACACATTTTATTTATTTATTTATCTATATAATTATCATTATATTTGTGTATACACATCATGGTCATATGTGTATGACCATGGGGAGGCTTACATGGGGAGGTCAGAAAACAACTTGCAGGAGTCAATTCTCTCCCCCTACCATGTGGGTCTTGGGATCAAACTCAGGTCATCAAACTTGGCAGCAAGCAACTTTACCCACTGAGCCATCTCAGTGGTCCCATATTCTCAGACTTTTTGATGATGTTTATTTATCAGTTAAACAAGCACTCTGACGGTACATATATCTGCCTACATTACATGTGAATGTCATGCATTGCTACCAATTAACATGGTCTAAAGAACATGTCTAAAGTGTATAAAATCAAATTAAATTAAAAATAAGAGAAAAATAAGTTTTTATCTTATTAAACTAAGTAGATTAATTTTCTTCTGTCTTAACAGTAGAAAGCAAGTATATGTCATGAAAGTTAGATCAAATACTTATTAAAATTATTTCTTTTCTTTTTTGAGATTTGATGTAATGACACCATTCCTTTCCCCTTTCTCCCTTCAAACTTTCCCTATATACCTCCTTGATCTTTCAAATGTATGGCCCCTTTTTCCATTATTTGGTAGTAGTGATGGTGGTGTGTGTGTGTGTATGTGTGTGTGTATTCCTAAATACATAAGTCCAACCTGCTTGGTCTTTATAGTATCACTTGTGTGTATGTTTTCAGAACTAAACATTTGGTATTAGAGAGCCACTTGGTGTGCTCTTCCCTGGGTCAGACTATTTCTCCTGCTCTCGGCATTCCCTAGTTGCCTGTAGTTCTCTGTCTAGGCTGTTTCTCCTATGTACTCTAGCATGACTGTTGGTGTGGCCGTTGTCCGGTTTGTGTTTAGGCAGTCACGTTGGATGTAACTTCTGACATTCTGACAATCCCACTGCAAACTCCCTGTCCTTCTGGCTCCTACAATCATTCTTATGCTAGCATCTCTGAACCTTAGGTGTGGGAGTTGTGTTATAAAGCATCAATTGGGCCTGGGCTCCACACTCTAAATTTTAATTGGTTTTCTATAATGGTCCCTCCATCTGTCCCAATCAGAAATGTTCTTGTTGAGGGTAAAGACTATACTTAGGAGATTATATATATATACTTAGGAGATTTTATATATATATATATATATATATATATATATATATATATATATATGTTGGTTTAGGGATCAATGAGATGGCTCAGTAGGTAAAGGCACTTGCTACCAAGCCTGACAATCTGAATGCCATTCCTAGGACCCACATTATAGAAAGAGCAGACTCCTAGCAAGTTGTCCTCTGATCAGCACACATGTGCCATGGCAAGCACATGCCTCCACATACTAAATAAATACAATTTTAAAAATTGTTTTTAAAAAAATCTTGGTTTGGCTGGGTGGTGGTGGTGCACACCTTTAATCCCAGCACTTGAGAGGCAGAGGCAGGCAGATCTCTATGAGTTTAAGACCAGCCTGACCTACAAGAGCTAGTTCCAGGACAGGCTCCAAAGCTACACAGAAAATCCCTGTCTCAAAATAACAACAACAAAATCTTGGTTTAATACTTCAAGGCTCTGTTATTGAGAGGTATGATGTAGTTCTTCAGATTTTTGATTCTCTTACTATCGTGGCTGGTAAAGACTCCTACCAAGTACTATATGAAACAATTCATAATCTATATTTAGCAAGGACTATCACCGATGATAGCAAATGCAAGTGCATTATCCAAAACACTGTCTTTAAGATATTTTTTTAAAGCAAGTTTCTTTTTGGACCAAAGCACAGTTAATGAGGCCACTAGTTCAGCTTCACACATGGCTGATAAACAAGCTGTCCAAACGAGGTGATGTCACGGCCATTTCTTACTTCCTGTATATATTTGTATCGCTTGCTTAAACTCCACCTCTAGCCCAAATGTCCTGTTTCCTGCTGGACCCTTGTGTCCATTAATGAGACACATGTCACCAAGTAGCTAGTCATCGTCAACTCAGGAGTGTCCACACCTTAACAAACAGCTCCAAGGACCTGTTACTGTCACCCATTACAAGGGACAAAGAGGGCCTGTGTCAGATACTGACAAAGCCATTGTTATTATGATTTGCCTAGTTTCTCCAGTTTGAAGTTGTGAGTCTCAGTTCTTGGAGTAAGGCAGCGCTAGGAAAGGGACCGACCCTCTCTACCAAGCACAGCTCCATCGTCACTGTCTCTGTCACAGAACAGCACGCACAGGACCCTGCAGGAAGAAAGAAAAACCAGGAGACAGTATTAACATGAACTGAAATCCTCAGAGACTAGACTTCAGAACCCAGCTCTCAACTCATTAGGAGACCTGAAATAAGAAACACAGTCTCTTCCAAGTCCATTCATTATCCTCCAAGGATAACAGCAGAGGTCCCGGGAATTCTTAGAAATAAAGACATATTGTACAAAAAAAAAACAAAACAAAACAAAAAACAAAAACAAAAACAAAAAACCTGGTGGATGATGTTAACATTCCGTCTGGAACAGCCTGTCCCCTTTCTAAATTTGAATTCTGATCCTCCCTCCTAGAGTAAGACTGGATTTACTATAACTAACATCACCTAGCCTCGAAATTCTAATTGCTATGATAACTGTCTTCTGGCCCCCAAATTTAATTTGTTCCTCCAAAATGAAGTTGTTTACGGAGTTGTTGTTCAGGACCAGTTCTGGTTGCTTTGGCGCCACCTTGTGGCTTGTCTTGGACATTTGCATGTGAGCCTTGTACCTAATACCCTTTGTGTGTAGGGTGGAACTGATTGTACAAACTAATGGTGCCTCTTTCCTCCCTGGTCACTCTCTCTGGGTCGACTTTTACATTGTTCCTTAAGGAAAATGTAGCTGAATTTTTGTTTGTCAACTTTACGGTGAACTTTTATATTTCCATATTGTATTACAGCTATCGGGTAGCCGATTGCAAAATTCTGTTTGCTAAATGATCTTTGTTTTCATACATGAGGATATATGTCATCCAAATAGGTGTTCAACATTGTACTTACAGCAATTTCCAGGTCCTACTTTTCGCGGGACCCTTAAAGCCACCCTATACTAAGGTAGCCAATCATAAACAATGAAGGTCCTGGAGGGGAAGTCTCCCTCAAGCTGTGCAATGAGATGCAGCCCATGCAGAACACAGCCATCAGAACTACAGGGTTGTAGAACATTGTGTCATGTCCCTAAGCCTCACTTCACTCTGATCCAGGGCCTGGGGTAGCTCATACGAGTGAAGTCATGCAGTGTTTGTCTTTGCATCCGGCTTATTTCACTTAACATGAAGTGCTCTGGGTTCATACATGTTTGTAAGGTTGGATAGCATTCTGCTGCATCTACATGTCACAGTTTCTTTGTGCATTCATCCCATTGATAGGATCTTTGGCTAATGCCCTATCTTAGCTACCCTAAACAGTGCTATATTAAACAGTGTCCACATCTCTTAAGCTCACTGACTTTGTTCATTTTGCTAGTACAGTCACCACCACGTCATCTTCGGTCATTCGTGCAGTCATGGATCCCACTATGCACTGTCTTAGCAGAGCCTGAGGCCTGTTGGTGTTACACAGTGGTTTACACACCCTTGGCATTCCAACAGCAGAATCAGCTGCTGGAAGCTAAGGGACAACATCTTTATTGCTACAAAAAGTAAACTGATAAAAGAATAGGTCTATGGTTTGAAGTTAGGTATAATTTCTGCCTTTACATCCTCCTCCCTGGAAGACAGACCAAACGCCTCCAGACTTGGAAGTGTTATCAGTCATCAGACCTGTGTATTGATGATGATTCTGCCTGTTGGTCATGCAGATCTTGCTGGGTCAGAAATACAACCATTCCGTGGACTGGTGGTCCTTCGGGGTCCTCCTTTATGAGATGCTGATTGGCCAGTCGCCTTTCCATGGACAGGATGAAGAGGAGCTTTTCCACTCCATCCGCATGGACAATCCCTTTTACCCTCGGTGGCTGGAGAAGGAGGCCAAGGATCTTTTAGTAAAGGTAAGAAATGGGGTCAAAGCCTGGAGGGTCACATGCACTCACCTCAAATGTGCAAAACCCTAAGTTTGACCCCTAGCACCGAAGAAGCAGAAAAGGAAATGACACTTAAGAAGGGATTCAAACAATCGGCACTAGATTCAGCTTGGTAGTCCCATTTTCTCCCAGGTTCTGACTTGGACACAGCCAGGCATCACAGCATGTTGTGAACGGTTTAATGGGATGTCAATGTCTCTATTTCAACTGAAACACTGATGCTATGGACTCTGGTACCAAGTCAGGGGGATCAATAATGGGGAAGGGGTAAGAAAAACATGTGTCTCTGATAGACAGACTCCAGAGGGTGTGTGTGTGTGTGTGTGTGTGTGTGTGTGTGTGTGTGTGTGTGTGTGTGTTTAAAAGGAAAGGAAAACTATTTGAAGGGAGGAAAGAAACAAGCTTGAAAGGTATCACAATGGAACCCATTGTTTTGTATACTTATTTAAATTATAAGACATTTTAACTTTGCAAAATTAAAACAGCCATGACCAAACAACAAACAAAACAAGGCAAGCATGATGGCATACACTGTATTCTCAGCTCTTGAGAAATGGAGGCAGGAAGATCAGGGTCATTCAGCTGCTTAGAGAGTTTGAGGCCAGACCAGGCTGTATGACTACATGAGAACCTGTTCCAAAAAAGAGAAGGTGGGTGAAGGAGGGGAATGGGGGGGAGGGTAAAATAAATCCTCTTTTCACCATTTCACAAAAGGAATGTCCAGGAATCTGTAGGTAACTCCCAGTGGAGGAAGCCTGGGTGACTGGCAAAAGTGTAGTTGGTTCTTTAAGCAGGCATGGTATGTAGCTTACAGCAATCTGTCTCTTGTCTATAATACCCTCTGGCCAGCACTGCCTCCATCCCTGGCAGGATGCAGGCATCTCTGCTCACGTGGTGAAAGGCAAACCTAAGTCACAAACACTGTCTCTGCTATCTCCATGGAGAAACGAAAGCATGCACGTCAGTCTTAACATTATAATGCAAGACTGTTGCCCACCTCTGCTCAGAGCTCATGGCTGGCAAGTTACAGCCTGGGAAGACGTGACTGCTGTCATGCTGAGGTTGCCTGCATTCTTGTTTTCCTCCTTTCCAACCCTTGAGTCTCTGCTTAGACCTATAGTGAGGTAGGTAGATAGATACATACATACATACATACATACATACATACATACATACATGCATACATACAAATGGTATAACTATAGATATGCATAGACATAAGATATGATATGTGAATATTAATTCTTTATTGTAATTATTTAAATATGTTAGGTAGATAATAATTAAAAAGTAAGAGAGTCATTTTTTTCTTTTTCTTTCTTTTTTTTTTTTTTTGAGATAAGTGAGCCTGAACTCACTGACTCTTCTTGTGTCCCCTCTCTCAAACTCATGACTTCTTTAATTATTATTGTCACACACTGTGTCATGTATATGTATCCTGATGAGCCCATTATGCATTATTAACCAAAATCCATTTATCCAACCCTTATTGAGTTTTACACCAGAAATTTGAAGGTATTTCCATGGATGGGGTGCAGCTCAGTGACAGGGGGGTTTTCTAAGCATACAGAGGTTCTTGGTTTACCTCCCAGTACCAAAATAAGGAAAGAAAGAGAAAGGAAAGAAAAGGAAAAAGAAAGGAGAGAGGGGAAGGAAGAAAGGAAGGAAGGAAGAAGGAAGAGAGAAAGGAGAGAGTGGGAGACAAAGGGAAGGCAGGGATGGAGAGACAGAGAACACACAATTTCCAGGCTCATCTTTTCACTGCTCTGCTTTTTTCTCTTGAAGAACTATTTAGGATTAAATCTAAAGTGCTTTGTACTTCCATGTCCCTAAGGAAAGTGACAACTTGTCTGTGGCATTAGATATTGAAATGACTCCCGATGTCTCCCTGGGAATCAGGATCTTGAATCTGAGAGGTGTTGACAAAGCCTGGAAAATCAGCCTGGGGTTAATGGAAGCAGGTATTAAAAACCTGGAACCTGTTCCATGCAGCTTGCACCTTCTGACTATGAGCCAAGCAAGCACCAAGCTCAGAAAACTCCCTGAATGACCAATTAAGTTCACTTCTAATGAGCAAACAAAACTCATGGAGAATGAAAGCTAATCTAAAACTTAACTAGCTGAAAAAGAAACAACGCAGCAAAAAGAAGCTAGTGCAATTCCAGTGCAAAGTCTCACCTGTATAAAGGCAAGTTCAGATTTCATGACAATTGGGACATTCATTTTATACTTGGCTGTATGAAGAGCTCAACGTGAATTGAACATGTCAGTGTCAGCTGCCATAACAAAATGTACCCAGACTAATCAGGCAACATTTCTCTGTCACTGTTTCTGAACTGCTTGAATACTGTCAGAGGCAGTATTTAAATCCCTTGCCCCCAGCAAGCCATATGTATTGCACACTGGAATACAAATGCATGTCAGACAGCAGACGCTTATTTCTTAGCATCCTAGAGGTTAAACATCCAAGATCAAGGCTCCTCGGGGCAGTCCTGATGCTGGCTCTTTTCACCTTGCTGGATCTGAGAGAAGAGGTGGGTCAGAAAAATACTCTGTGTCTCTTATTTTTTAAGGACACTAACCCTGTAAGATAAGAGTTATATCCCTGTGACCTCCTCTGGCCTTCATCACTTCCATAAAGTCCCTGTCCACAGTCACATTGGAGATAGGACTTCATTATGAGTTCTGAGGGGTCTGTCACTCAGTCTTAACATGGCAGCTAGACTGGGGCATCAGGACCAACACTCTCCTGGGAAAAGAGAAGTAAGGAAGAACCTTGTTCTTCCCGGCATCAGAGATTTAGTCACCTTCAAGTCCAAAGCCTTTCTGTCAGACAAGTCATCAGACAGAGGCCTCAGAGTTAGTTGCAATCCCCCAACACATCATGTGGACACTCCATAGCCACCCTTCCCATTGTACCTTCCAAATGCTGAGTCCCCATGCAGCATTAGGACATCTTCAGGCAACTATGACAGATGAAGTAGGGATAGGCAGGCAGAACCAGCAGTAACTTTTGGAGGGAAGTGGGGAGGGCTAGTTGCCAAGGTAAGAAAGATTGGGTAAGAGGAAATGATTATTTCAGTTGGGACAGGAAGTAGAGAATGTACTACAGACACCAACATCTCAATGAAAAGAGCAAAATATCCATACCTCATGCAAGCTGCATGGATCCCAAAGACAAAGAGTCCATCTATGCAATATCCTTAAGTGATGGAATCATGCTGGTCAGTCATGGGAAGGAGCAGGTATCAGGGCAGGCATATGGCTGTGACTACATAAGACAGCAAGAGGAACAGAACCTGATATCATGGCAAGCAATGAAAAACTTAAAACCAGCCAAGTGAGGTGGTACACACTTGGAATCCCAGAGCTGGGGTGGTGAAAACAGTCTGCTCCCTGGGGCTGACTGGCCAGCCAGCCTGACTGGCCTAATGAGCACTAGGTCAAGTAAAAGGTCATATCTCAAAAACAAAGGCAGAAAAGCTGGTGAGATGCCCAGAGGTTAAGATGCCCACTGCTCTTAACCTGGGGGGTCAGTTTACAGCACTTCCTGGTAACTCACAACTGTCTTTAACTCCAGTTCCAGGGACCTGACAACCTCTTCTGACCTCCACAGGCACCAGGCACACATGTGGCACACGCAGACCAAGCACCAAGACATGTAAAATAAAAATTAATGATAAAAAGATTTTTTAAATAAATAAACCCAGGAGGAGACACCTGAAGAATACCCAGGGCTAGCCACTGGTCTCCACATAGATGCATACACATACATGTATACACACACACACACACACACACACACACACACACACACACTCACAGAGAGAGAGAGAGACAAAGAGAGAGAGAGCTTAAAAGCAGAAGTAGAGTTGACATAGCTCAGCAGGTAGAGACACTGGCCCCAAAGCCGATGACTTGAGATTGATCACCAGGGGTCACACAGTAGGAGGAGAAAATCAACTCACACAAAAATAAATTAATGTAATACATTTTACAAAAACAAAATTAAATGTAAGACTAAATGCCATGCAACTACCAAAAAAATATAAAATATACAGTTATGCAGATTATCAGCAGCAGAAGAAAAGTGTGTTATGAAAATAGGCAAAAACTTGAATAGATCAAAGTTAAGGCAATCAAGGATAAGAACGAAGAAGGACTATAGGCAAAAGAGACTTTAAAGCTGCCTGGAAGCCTTTGTTATTTCTGACATGAATAAAAAAAAAAAAAAAGAAACCTGCCCTTCCTCTTGCACACATTGCAGCAATTCAGCTGATAAAAATTAATTTCCATTGTGCAATTTGCTGCCAACAAGACTGGTTTGCAGTTTATCTCTCCCCCTGGATCACTTTAAAGTTTAATCCAACAGCCTTCACAGCCTTGGGCCCCCTCTTATGCAAAAAAAAAAAAAAAAAAAAAAAAAAAAAAAAAAACTATTTCTCAGAAATTCCCTCCAGGGACTTTTCCATGGTGTAAAACCAAGAAGTCCTGAGTACTCTGGAAAAGCTGAACAGGGAGGCAATGCTGTGTGGCACCCATTAGAGCAGTGGTACCAGACTGTCCCCTTGGGCTCTCATGGGACAGGACACAAGCACACATAGCCCTAGGACACTGAACAACTTGCATGTCGGGAAAGGCTGTGCTCCATCAACAGTTACTGCTGGAATGCTGCTCTCCAGTTGCCTAGTGACAAAATAAAAAGCAAGCACCCTTTCTCCCCCATTTATTTATCCAGGATGTCCGGTCCTTATGTTTGGAAATGATGGGAAAGTAATAATCTTAAACAAAAATCCATCTCCTTTTTCACAGGACCATTTTCTGAGGAGGAACTCAGGAGGGAGGGTGGGATCCAGGTACAACCTGTCACAGCTGCTGGTGGCTACAAATTGCTTCCTAGCCAGGCTGTCAAATAATTTTAAACAAACTCCAACTATATCCCAGCGTTTTATGTAAGAATGAGCTGT